GCACAAACGTACGTATATATATAAGTAGCTTTGCCCGTCATTACCCTTAATGCAAAAAATACTAGATTCTGAACATGTATATTAATAATAAGAACTCAATTAACCATACGTGCTATGAATAGTAGCTGATATGGTTATTTATAACCTATAATTTAGGTTAACTACAAATAACGTTCTTTGGGTATCGGTAGAAGCTATATAGTGGAATTATTTGCTATTTTCTTGCAATTTACTGCCGATTATTTTCAGCTGTTTGAACGCGTCGAGATCATGAGCAGACGCACGCTTGTCGCGACAGCCAATCGGAAGCAGTAATAGTTCTGGAGACTGTAGTCACATTATCTTACATACGTATGATGCGTGAGTGTGTCATGGGTAAAACAGAGCCATGTGAGCAGAGAGCTATCCATAGTTTAATCTATTTGTTATCGACCTCCCGTAAGCGCGCTATCTATCGGGCAGCGTTTCTGCTGTTGTCGCGCTGCGAGGCATCCGTCCAATTTAACGCATGAGTCGTGTTTTTTTTCTATATTCGTGCGCAACGCTGACGCGCAGGCGTTCCCTGATCTTACCGCGCAAACAACGACGATCTCGTCGTCACTTCTTTTCGGACGCTCAACGAGTGAGCATCTCAGTTATTGCCTTGATATTGCGTAGATACGCTACTTTTCTATAATCGTAAAATCATTAATATCCCGGCTTCTGAGGAAGCAGAGCTGTTATATACAGCTACATCGCTATTTTGGAAAGACGAAACCTTGTATCGGGCGCTACTACTGTTGCCGTGCGGTATTCTACCTTAGTCAGCTATGCTTATTCTAACTTAATCAGTTACTGGGTGCGTGCGTAGGAATGGCCCAAGTTAGGTGAATCGCAAAGGAGGGAAGAGAAATGTAGGCGACACAGAATATAAGTTTACACACTATTTACATTCTATTTACATTTACGATGAGTATCAATGTATCTCGCTTTAACCTGTTGGGCCCCCCCCCCCGTTGTTTGGTCTGCGTCGATGTATCTACCTTCGTGGCCTCTGGGTCCGTCTGCGTGCCGGTGGTGGCTGTAGCTGGGGTGTCCCTCATCGTTACCTCTGCGTCGGTTGCGATAGAGGCGTCGCGCGTCTGCCTCTTTTTACCGGTGCCCGGGACCTTGTCCGGGTTAACCTTAGCGCGCTTCGGGGGGTCGACGTGCTTTGCGGCGTCTGTGGCCGCGGTCGTGCTGGTCACGCTCGTTACCCCAGATAAGTAGGAAGAGAGCGTCACGTTTCTCTTCCTGTGCGTGATGGCCTGTAAAGGCATCAGCAGGGTCCGCCGTCGCCGAGTAGGATCATCGTCCTTCTTAAATCGCTCCTCGAAAAGCCGCGGCGTCTTGCCTTTTGCCGGGATACCGCCGGGGGTATGAGATGCCAGGTTGAGGCAACTGCGCGCAAAGGTCCGTACCCGGTGACAGCCTGGAGTGATGTGTCTCGGACGCAGTACCGTGAAGGAATGTGCGCGGTATATAGTTGGCTGGCGACTGCGCGCTGTTATTGGCGGGGCGTCTCGCGCCTTGTGCCAGGCGACCGCGCGCCGTGATTGGCCGGGCGAGCGCGCGCCTCTATCGGCCGGGCGACTCGCGCCTCGTAGGCGACTAGCGCCGTGTGCGGGCGACTCGCGCCGTGAAAGCGGCTAGCGCTCAATAGGCTTTAGCGTCAGGGCGCTTTGTACCTTCGGCGACTCGCGCCGGGAAGAATTGCTCGAGCCCATAGGGGGTCTGCCTTTATACTCGTCGGTGCAAAACTTAGTACTCGCGAAGCTGCCCCGGCGATGCGACGCCTAGCGGCGTTGCTGCGAACTGCCGGTACTGCAGGCATCGCGCAGGGATGTATCATTGGTGGCGTGGACCGCCACACCTTGTCTCCGGACTTTCTGACTGCTGAAAAAGAAACGAGGGAAATCCGATAGTAAAGACGAGGGCGGCCATTAATCCCGAGATATATTTTTGGAAGGACGAGGATCCATTGCGACGTCCTTATACTTGATAAGTATATTTCTGATGAGAGAATTCCAGTTATTCTATTCTGGAACAACCCTAATTTTGGCTAATCGCAAGGTAAGCTTATCATTTTATTTGGTAAAACCGTTCTTGGGTTGACATTAAATTCGGGCTATTAAGCCTAATCCTCGGATATTGGTTACAGAGAATATCATGAGATTTTCACGATTTCATTTCGTGGCGCGCATAAAGTAATACAATTGTGGCGCGCATAAAGTAATACAATCGAAAGGCCTTTTTCGAAAGCTCAGTTCCTTTGTGAACTTTCCAGAAGACAAATAGTATAAGGCTATTCGTGCTTCAATCAGTATAACACATAGCGTGTTCGGCGCGTGACAACGGAATATCTGAGGCGTGAAACGTCGCGTGATTTGAGCGTAATATATACCGTGTTAAAATTGTACGACATTGCGTATTCTAAGCATGATACATAGCGTGTTCTAAGCGTGACTAAAATCAACATAGATATTATTATCGAGTGATCAAAATAGTAAATACTGTCGAAATTCTCTGTTCAAGAAAACTATATTCCTTTAGTTTTATAGTAGGAGAGTAACCACCACTTCTACATCAAGGATCTCGCTTGCGGTTAGGGGGGTCGGGGGTGCCTCGCTGCCGCGGGGAGAGCGCCGTAAGCGGTGGGCGAGGGGGTCGAGGGACGGTGTTAAAGGTCATCGGAGGGGGGCTACGCGGTGGGAAAAGATTGCTGGGCGAGGGGGGGAGCGCGACGCGGGGGACGGTTGTTTACTGGTATCAGGTCAGGTTAGGCACCGCAGGGCCGCCAACGGGGGCTCGGCGCGGGGACGCGGGCGTTCCAAGGGGGGGCGCTCGGAGCGGCGCTCGCGCCGTTACCGACCGTTTTGGAAAATCGCGCGCCAATTTTTTTTTCGTTTTCGCTCGCGCGCGTCCGAGCCCGTCCGGACTCGCCCGAACTCGCCCGAACTCGTTCGAGGTCGCTCCTCTCGACGTTCGGGGGGGAAAAAAAATGCGTTTGAGGTCGTTCGTTTCGCGGGGGTCTCGATCGCCCATCTTCGCCGTCGTTTTTTTTTTTACTCTCGGTCCGAAGGTTGTTTCGATCCGCGTCGCGACGGGCCGGACGCGGTTTTCCGACCCATTCCGGCGTATCGAGATCAAGGGAGACGATTCATCTCTTCGTCCGCTCGATTCGTATGATTCGCGATTATTTTTTTAACGCGCGTCCGAACTCGTTCGAAGCTCCTCCTTTTGCTTTTTCGGAGGATGCGGCGAGCGGTTGTCGTCATTCCGGGAAAGAGCGCGTCCGGCAGGGGGTACGTCCTCCGTTGAGATAACGAACGGGGGTATAAATTGAACGGGCGCGCGAACGGCGCGGCAAACGGTTTTTTTTCTGCGAAGATTCTAGAGCGCGGTCGAGAGTTACTCGCGCAGTTGAGAGTTAATATATTTGTAAAAAAATACGGTATAGGAACGGACAGACGCTATTGCTCGTCGATGGTGCGTTTGCTTCGCGGCAGAAAAGTTGGATTTCGAAACGTACTTGCTGGCAATGACACATGGTGTCCCAAACATTCTGTATTGCATATCAGTAGAACAGAACATAATTGGGAGGCTTTGGACTCATACGTTAAAACATGTTGGTGTATGGTTCGCGGCAGCGTTCGTAATGTTTATGACGAAAGATCAACACACGGGATTATCTGAAGATCACTCGTGCCACATTGGCCTATTGGAAACGAGCTCTGTTTACAGTGTGGAGAGGAGTGTAAAATAGGTTTCTAGATACTTATGATTACGCCGAAACATTAATGTAGCGGACTGAAGATTGAGATTTTTATTTTGATATAGACGTTAGCGGTGCAAATGTAGCATTAGCGATACGTATTCGCGAATGAACGATCGCCGTTATCCGTCGTCCGTGGAATTGGACGACGAACCGCGCTGTCGCGAGCCCATGCCTAAGTTTTCGTCCGATTCGGACGACGAATCGGCGAGAGTCGAAGCACCGTTGTCGTCAAACGCGTGCGCGTCGGTGGTGAAGGAGGACGCGCGATGGAATCTGGCTATCCATCATCTGCGAAGGGAAATCGGAGCGCGAACTAATCGCGAGCGAGAGTGGATAGAGACGACGGTGGCAAATTCGTCAGGGCGAGCGATTATACGCGTTGCCTGCCGCTCGAGTATTATCTTTATTACGATACGGTATACGGAGGGGAGAGGATACGTCGGATTCAAACCGCCGGGTCTCGTCGTCTTTTCGACCGAGTGAAATTCAACGTTCCCGAGGGTAAACCCTTTTGGACGCGATGCGGAAAGAGTGCGACGAGTTACTCGCCGCGGACGTCCGCGACGCGGACGGGTACCGCGCGTGGAGACGGCGATGCGACGAGTGTCTCCGACTTCTGCGGGAGGAGTGTCGAGTCAAACGCTCTGGGAAGCGAGGAAACACGGGAGCCGTGACCGCTCTGGTAACTCTAATAGCGCGATTGGAAGGTTCGAGGGAAGATCTGCGTCGACGATTCGAACGCGCCGTAGGTGCCGGCTTGGACGGAGGGGGTGGCGGTAGCGGCAGCAGTGGCAGAGGTTTCTCGTGGATCGAGATCGACGCGGCGTTCCAACGTCGCGTGCTGACCGGCGCCGTGACGAACTCGACGTACATCGAGCCCGCGCGATTTCTCGACGACGCGAAAGGCACCGTGCTTGAAAAGGTGCGGGATAATATGACCGAACACGGGTGTCTGAAGGTCAACGTCATATTCAATGGGGAATTTGTAGCGAACGTTAAGACCGATGTGAAGAGTATCGCTATGCGGAACGAACAGCTTCTCCCGGGGTCCGATCTGGGCGAGTGGTACGATAGGTACGTGCGCGACGCGATTCTAACGCGGTTGGACGAATTTCAGGAACGCGACAGCGGATAAGCATTGTCGCAAATACTGAACCTAATCGTGAACGTGAACAAGTGTAATCCCATGCGCGTGGGATGTTGGATGAAAATACCGCTAGGTATAAGACTTAAAAAGGCGGTGGTCAACGTGCTATCGGAGAACGACGCGTGTTTCGCGCGCGCGGTGGTCGCCGCTCTGTACCCCGCCAAGCGCAACGCGGAACGATGCGGCTCGCATCCCGATTACGCGACGGTGCTGAATCTCGACGGGATCGATTTTTCCATAGATCTAAAAAAGATCGGAAAATTCGAACGTCAGAACGACGTATCGATCAACGTGTTTATAACTCGGGAAGGAATTGAAAAAAAAGCTAAGTTCGGCCGGGGCGCCGACGACAACGCGATCGTGCCTCTACGGTTAACCGACGATAAGAGGGACAGGCACGTAAATCTGCTGTATCTGCGCGATACGCTGCGCGGCGTCAACAGGGGCCATTTCGCCTGGATAAAGAATCTGTCGCGATTGGTGAATTCGCAATTGACCGCGAAACGGTGCGCGAAGCACGTTTGCGATCGGTAGGTAAAAAAAAATGAAAAAAAATATGAGGAACAAGGAAAAGATGAGGCGTTATTTTTCATATACGCATAGTAATCGCTCGCACGTTATTTCGCAGATGTCTACACTATTTTTATACGCGCGATAAGTTGGCCGCCCACAGCGTCGACTGCGGCCAAATGAACGACTGCGCCGTCGTTCTCCCGAACGAGAGCGATAAGTGGCTGTCGTTCGACAATCACGACAGAAAGGAGCGACTTCCCTTCGTAGTGTACGCGGATCTGGAGTGTCTTCTCGAACAACGGGAGAGGGAAAACGTCGAGGGGGGGCCCGAGAACGGAAAGATACGCTTATCAACGTCACGTACCGTTCAGCCTGGGCTACTATCTGTGCTGCACCTACGACGATACCGCGTCCGCGTACAGATATCGTCGCGGCGAGGATTGCGTTTCGTGGTTCGTGAACGAGTTTCGCGTTCTCGCGCATCGCGTTAAGAATAAATTTTCCACCAATATAGCGATGGTGGAGCTTACGGAGGACGAGAAAAGCGAATTTCGGCTCGCGACTCATTGTCACGTGTGCGGGAAATCGTTCCAACCGGAGGACAAGCGCATGCGGGATCACTGTCACCTAACCGGACGCTACAGAGGTCCGGCGCATTCTCGTTGCAATCTGAATTACAGAAACGTTTACGTGATTCCCGTGTTCTTTCACAATCTGTCGGGTTACGACGCGCACTTCGTCGTCGAGAAAATCGCGAACGATTTCGAGGGCGGGGTCGATCTGCTGCCGCTCACGAAGGAAAGTACATATCTTTCTCGAAGACCGTTAAGGAGACGCAGACGGACGGGGGATGGGATCGGTACATGAAGCTTCGATTCGTGGACTCGTATAAATTTTTAGCGGCGAGTATCGAAACCCTGGCGTCCTATCTGAACAAGGACAAGCTAAGAATAACGCGTTCGGAGTACGCGGATTTGAGCGCGGAGGATCTCGATCTGCTCACTCGCAAGGGAGTATTTCCGTACGAGTACGTTGACAGCGCGGACAAACTGCGGGAGACCGAGCTTCCGCCGCACGAGGCCTTTTACAACTCCCTGACCGACGAGACCGCGAGCGAGAGCGACTACGAGCACGCGACGAAGGTTTGGCGACGTTTTTGCGTGCGAGATCTCGGCGAGTACAGCGATCTGTATCTCAAGACCGACGACGTGCTTCTTCTGGCGGATATATTTGAAAATTTTCGGGACGCGTGTTCGGCGAGTTATGGGCTTAATCCCGCGCATTACTACACGTTGCCGGGGTACACGTGGGACGCCATGCTGAGGTACACCGGCGTGCGTTTCGAGCTGCTCACCGACATCGACATGGTGCTGTTCATGGAACGCGGAATACGCGGAGGCCTCAGTCAATGTTCACTCAGGTACGCGCGAGCCAACAACAGGCACGTACCGACGCACGACTCGTCCCAGCCTACTACGTATCTCATGTATTACGGCGTGAACAATCTGTACGGCTGGGCTATGACCGAATTGTTGCCTTACGCGAATTTCCAGTGGCTCGACGACCCTGAGAATTTCGACGCGACGACCGTGCCGGCGGACAGCGACGTCGGTTACATTTTGGAGGTAGATCTCGAGTACCCGCGGGACCTGCACAACCCCACGCGGATCTGCCGTTGTGCCCGACTCGCGACAAACCGCCCGGTAAGCAACAGGAGAAACTGCTCGCCACTCTCTACGACAAATCGCGCTACGTGACGCACTATTGAAACCTGCAGCAATGTCTGCGACTAGGTATGCGTCTGACGCGCGTTCGTCGCGTTCTGCGATTCGCCCAGTCGCCGTGGCTTCGCGTCTACATCGAGCTGAACACCACGCTTAGGACGCGCGCGAGCAAAAAGTTCGAACGGAATTTGTACAAATTGATGAACAACGCCGTCTTCGGCAAAACGATGGAGAACGTGCGCGATCACGTGGACGTGCGTCTCGTGACGCAATGGGACGGGAGATGCAACGCGGAGGCGTTGATCGCTAAGCCGAACTTTCACAGCAGGAGCGTCTTCTCGGAGAATCTGGTGGCCATCGAGCTGCGAAGGCTCGAGGTAAAATTCAACAAGCCGGTCTACGTGGTTATGTGCATTCTCGAGATATCCAAGACGAGTCTCTACGAGTTTCACTACGACTACATGGTGCCGCTCTATCGCGACCGTTGTCGAATTGCTTACACGGATACGGACAGTCTGATCTATTCGCTGGAGTGCGAAGACGCGTATGAGCGTATGAAACGCGACATACACAAGTTCGACACGAGCGATTACGCGGAGAATAACGCGCACGGTGTGCCGCGCGTCAACAAAAAGGTGCCCGGTTTGATGAAGGACGAGAACAACGGCGCGATCATGACGGAGTTCGTGGGCCTCAGAGCGAAGATGTACACTTACAAAGTACTCGGATGCGACGACACCAAGAGAATAAAGGGCGTTAAGAGAAACGTAGTCGCGAAGAAGATCATGTTCGAGGATTACGTAGCGTGCCTGCGGAACGCGCGCGAGCTGAAGACGCGCCAGTCGTGCATACGCTCGACGCTGCACGAGGTTAACACCGTGTCGGAGCAAAAACTAGCCCTCAGTCCGCACGACGACAAGCGATACGTGACGTCGAACGGCGAGGAGACGCTTCCGTGGGGACATTACGGAATACCGTTGTAAAAAAGAAAACAATATTATACGTTTTAAAAATTGTTTTATCGTAAAAATCAATAACACGTAAGAAACAAACCAACGAATGTGTAAACTTTTATTGACAATAAAGTAAGCGTTGCGCGTGTCTACGAATATCTAAGTATTTCTTTCTTTTTACAATACAGATGCCTTATCTATCCACGAATTGTGCGAACTGTCCATTCCTAGCCACTTCACGAACGCTCGATTGCCGCGCTTGCGCAGGACTTTTTCCACGAGATAGACGTCGAGATTGGAGACGCGCAGCAACTCGTGTTCGTAGAATCCTCCGGCTATCGCTTCTCCGCGAACGTCTTTCAGCAGATACGTAACGGGATTGGTCCTTTGTACTTTGGCTAAGCGAAAGATCTCGGCAGTCCAATTGGGAGTGTAGCCTTTTTCGAAGATTGAATCTCTCCACCACCGACGCTTTCATCACCAAATACGTGGAGTAGTGATTCACCTCGCGCTCGTCGACGATTTTGCGCACGTCGGCGTTGTAGAATTCCTTTCCTTTGTCTGTTTGCAGATTCCTGGGGTGTCGCGCGTCCTTGCGAAAAATCTTTCGGAGAGCCGTCGCGACCTCCTTTCCGCCCTTGCTTTTGAGCGGGATCGCTCAGGCGTACTTGCTCAGCACATCGATGACCGTCAGAATGTAATTGTGGCCCGCGTTTGCGCGCGAATAGGGGCGCATCTCGACCACGTCGGCCTGCCACAGGTCGTCGTAACCGCGCACCACGACGCGGCGGCGAGGAAAGTTTTTTCGCGCCGGCGCGTGCAATTCTTCCACGAGTCTACGTTTTTCCACGCTCATTTTGTTTGAGAAGCTTCAAAACGGTCTTGATTGCGATGATTTCAACTTCGTGCCTATCCGCGGTATTTTTCACGGTAACGAATTTTTTTTTAAATTTTTTTATTGCGTCGCTCAAAGTCTTTCCGAGTTCCGCGATCGCTCCCTCGACAAACCTCTTGTTGGCCGCGTCGGCGCCGACCTCCGGCGCGGCTACGCGTCGTATCTTGCGCCCCGACGCGTCATAGGAATCCTGAGCGTTCAAACGGAGCGCGACGCTTTCCAGCGCCGCGATTCCGTTTCTCAGTTCTCCGATCGCGTTGTTATTCTTGATCTCTTCGATCAAAACGCTTTTTAGCTACCCAATCACGCCCTCTACGTAGCTCCTGTTCGTCGCGTCGGTGCCGATTTCCGGCGCGGCTACGCGCCGTATCCTGCGCTCCTTCGCGTCGTAGGATTCCTCGTTCAAACGGAGTGCGTCGTTCCTCAGCGTCTCGATTCCGCCTCTCAATTCTTTCGTCGCGTTTTTCTTCTCGATCTCATCGGTCACGACTTTCTTGAGCCGTCCGATCGCGCCATCTACGTAGGCCTTGTTCGCCGCGTCGGTGCCGATTTCCGGCGCGGCTACGTGTCGTATCTTGTGCTGATCCGCTTCATAAAAGTTCAAACGAATGAGGAGCGCCGCGTCCTTTACCTTCGCTATTTCGTTCTTCAAATTTCTCTCCGTCTTGTTCTCCACCGCCACAATCCTACCGTTCAATTCTTCGGTCGCGCTTTTCTTCGATCGTTCGATCGCGTCCTCGACGTAACTCCTGTTCGTCGCGTCGGTGTCGATCTCCGGCGCGGCTACTCTTCGTATCTTGCGCTCCCTCGCGTCGTAAAAATCCTCGCTCACGAAGAGCGCGTTGTTGCGCGCGTAATTGCGCAGGGACTCGATCGAGGAGCGCAATCTCACCGTGGACGCACTGTCGACTCCGTCGCCGCTGCTCCGATTCGTCAGAGACATGCCGAATTTGTTCACGGACATCGCGCTGGCTGGATGTACGGTACACCGTCGATGACCATGGAGTCATCCGGGTTCAGCTTGAATCGCTTGTTACCCAACATCGTGCCTTTCTCGCCGAAATGCACTCCGTAAACGGTGTCGATCTCCTTGTTTTTGTCGCCGCCCAGAAGAGCGCCCAAGTATTCCCGCCCTAACGGTCCTAGTTGGCTAGTCAGAACGTCGCAACTTTCCGCCGTACTCAAAGATTTCCCGGCGGACGTCTCCAACGTGGGAAATGGAGTCGTCGTCTCCGAGACGATCTCGCGTTCTCTGGGTAAAAACTGGACCGAATCGTCGCGGATCAGCGTGGAGCTCATCATAGTCGTCGTCGCGGGAGCCGAACTCAGCCGTGCCGGACGCGACTCTCTTTTTTCCGCCGTCGAGGTTGTCCCGATTGGCGCGAATACGTCGTCGTCCTCCCCGTAATCGCGCTCCAGGTCGGCGCCAGCATCGTCGTCGTCGTCGTCGTCGTCGTCGTCGCCGTTCTCGCTGTCCTTCTTCGCTCTCTTCGTCGCTTTCATCTTTTTCGCGAACGTAAAGCCAGCGCCGTCGTCGTCGTCGATCTTGCCCGGTCCTTTACCCCTACGTTCCACGTCATCGGCGAGCCGTTTCAGAGGTTTGACGATAGGCTCGTACCTCTTTTCCAGAGCGATCTCGCTCTCCATTTTCCCGGCTCTGAGAGCGGCGTACTTCCTGCGAATCGAGGCGCGCGTCTTGGCTATCTCTCGCGCGGTTCTCTCCTCCGCGATCGCGCTCATACTCGCGTCGTTCGGCGAGGCGCACTGATCGGCCCTACAGCACGGCGAAGTCGTGGAAGCCCCGTCTGTACCGTCCGCCTCGCAACGCGCTGTCCTTGTCTATCACGGCGAAACCGTAGGTGCGCCGCCAACACTCGCGACAGAAGGCGCGAAACTCGTCGTACGACATGTCGATGTTCACGTGATCGTCGTACACGTGTCGCAGATTGGTGCCGTCCTGCCTGAACAGGATCAGCAGATTTACGTTATCGCGCACAAGATGTTTCGGTATCTTAGCGTACGTCTGACAGAGATAGAAGCAATCGATATTCGAATGTCGGCCCATAGAAAAGTACTCCCTCATTCTGTCCTGCTTGTCGCAGGCCACGTCGTTGAAGACGAAGACCGAGTCGGGAAGCGCCTCGTCGGGCGGAACAATGTCGCGATTGTCGGAAAACGCGTGATAGCCGATCTCGTCTATAGGCTCAAACAATCTTTTGAGGTATCGATACTTCGGTTGTTGCAGAGATTTCGAGTACACGTATACGTTCTCGAAACGGAGACCGTGCGGTTGTTCCAGCAGGCTCAGCAGAACGTTCGTCTTACCGCAATTGAAGGGACCGCAAATGATGCAACGGACGACGTTCGGAAGGAGAGGATCGTGCCGGCGCGATTCTCCGTTTCCTCTCTCGGTCGCGCCCGACCCCGCCGACGTTTTGCGATCCAGATTCGAAACTCCTAACGTCGCCGTCTGTCGCACGAATCGCATGTTTGCCCTCTCTCGGGTTTTTCCGCGAGCGCGATTTCCGCTCGGTTCGTTCGCGATGAGTCTCTCGATCGCTGGAAAAAAAGGGAGGGAAACGCGGACGTCGTTTCGTTTCGTCGCGCGTGCGCAAACGCCTCGCGCGCGGATATAAGTAGCGCGAGCGTGTCGCCGTATTCGTACAAAAAATTTATTTTCTAAAAGCAACGAATCGTTCGCGCGCATCGGTGAGATGTCTCACAGCCGCGTGTTTCCCATACTGGTGGACAGTTACGAAATTCTCAATCTAACGGCGGAAGAGTTGCAATACGTTCCGAAGGTCCTTCTGTTGCGTCAATTTGGGAGATACGTGCACCGGTTGTGGGACCGTTTGCCGGAACATATACAAGCGGATCCCGAGGTGCAGAGATATCGCCCGTGCATGAAACACTACAATCGTCCGTGGCAGCGAACGCACATAGACGGTCCGCCGCCGCTCATCAAGGACTGCCACGAGTGCAATCGCTTTCCCCCTATGAACGGTGAATCATCGACTTCCCGTTCGAACTAAGAAGAAATGAATCCTCCTCCCGCAACCGCGACCGAATGCGCGGCACCGGTCTGCTCAATCGCGCGATAAACGCTCTTCCCTTCGAGCTGCACATACCCGGTTATCAGTTTTGCGGGCCCGGTACGCGTCTAGCGAAGAGACTAGCGCGCGACGAAGAAGGCATCAATCCGTTGGACGCGGCGTGTCGAGAGCACGACGTCGCGTATTCGCGAAGCGGCGAGCTCGCCAAGCGACACGTCGTCGATCGACGACTCGCCGAGAGGGCGCGGGAGCGCGTCACCGCGCAGGATTCCACGGCCGGTGAGAGACTCGCCGCGGCGGCCGTATGGGCGGCTATGAAGACGAAGACGAAGCTGGGCATGGGTATGGAACGCAAAAGGAAAACGAGAAAAGGAACGGGATTGAGGAGAAGCGCGAAGACGAGAACGAAAAAGCGGAGGATACTTCCGACGGCGAAACGCGGCGGCTTCTTGCCCTTTCTACCGATGTTGGGCGCTCTCGGTTCCTTGATCGGTGGCGCGGCCGGCGTGGCCAAAGCGGTGAGCGCCAACAAAGCGGCGCAAAAACAGCTCGACGAATTGCAGCGACACAATCGCGCGATGGAGGGTCGCGGGTTGTACCTCGCGCCGTATAAGAAGCGCGGAGGTGGCGCGAGGAGAGTCGTTGAAAAAAAAAACCTCGCGGAAGAAGGCGAGGTTAGCGCGTCTACCTCCGTACGGCGTCACGACTGACGAGCAGCTCGATCGATCGGCGCGTCGTCTGCGCATACCGTTCTTCCGCGGGGTGTTTATGCGCGACGCTCTGCCACCGAGGGTGCGACGCGCGGAGTGCGGCATCGTGAATCTCGACGACGCGGTGGGCCCGGGCACGCATTGGGTCGCTTACGCAAAAAAAGGGAACTCGGCGATCTACTTCGACGCGTTTGGAAATCTCCGTCCGCCGAGAGATCTCGCGCGGTATCTCGACGACGGTGGCGGCGAGAGCGCGGTCGTGACGTACAATCGTCGCGCGTTCCAGACATTTAATCAGAGAATCTGCGGACAGCTGTGTCTGCGATTTCTTCGCGAGATCGATTGGGGGGGAGCGGGCGGACGACCGACGTT